GTTTGGCCGAATACCAGACACACCACCGAGGCCAAGGAATGACTGGGAGGGCATTCTTTAATTGGGTCGCCTTTCATAGTCCACTTGGGAATGTTTGGGGTCAAACAAAGAGCCCAAAATGTCTTCCCACATTACCCTGTGGAGTCATTAATTGAGCCTGAGGCGGGTTACCTTAATTGGTTTCACGAGAGGACTGTGAGACTAATCAGTAACCTTGACAACTACCCAGTGGTCCAACAAGACGGAGGCTATCAGCCACTTGCCGAGCAGGGGATGTGCAGTGTAAATGTTCATAATTTATGGTTTTTTTTATTATTATGATTTTTTTATTTTATTTTATTATTTTTTTGTGTGTGTTTAATAGTAATAATTTTCAATTTAATTTTCTGGCCCAAGCCATGGAGGGGGTCTACAACTTGTTATCAGGTCTTGACGTTAGTAGCCTCACTCTAGAGCAGCATGCCATATTCGCCCAGTCCCAAAACATTTTCTACAGTGGACTGACTGTCGGAGGACAAGTGGTCACGCAAGGGACGTCGTCGAGTCAAGTTCTATCTCAGGAGAGATACGTCCGACCCCAAACCACGCAGTCGCACCGGGCGAGGCATCATCCCGCTGCCAATATTGGTGGAGGTAGAAGACGCCGTGCCCGCGAACCCGCTGCCAACATCGGGCCTCAGCAAAAAGAACAAGAAGGTCAGAATTTTTTATATAACTTCAATATAATTTTTTAATTAATTAATTAATTATTTATTTATTGTCAAGTAAAATTTCTGATTTTCTTAAGAAATGAATTATTCAGATGATGAAGAAGAAGCTGCCACGCCCACAGCCTCGTCTTCTTTACCAACGTATCAGCGTCGGGTGGGCTCCTGACAGCGCAAACCTCCGGATCAATTCACTCCTAGCAACTATTAGGGAAATTTATGGACATTTTTGGTTTTTTTTCTCGAATTTTGTGTAATTAAATTTAGACATATTGGTATTTTGAATAAATTATTGTGGTTCAATTTTGGTTGTGGAATTTATATATTTTGGATGAATTTTGGTTGTTGAATATTTGGTTGTGGAATTGATTTCGACAAACAGGTGTGTTTTCTTTTATTTTTTTTGTAAGGTTGTTGTATCTGCACAGGAAAACGTATTCCCAGAATACGTTTTTTTTTTTTTTTTGAAACCGTATTCTCAGAATACGGTTTATGGCAAACAAAAATTAGGGCAAAATTAATTTTGGGGCAAAATTGGCGAATTAAAAACGTATTATAAAACGTATTTTGAACATACGTTGTTTTTTTATATTTTTTAATTAACTTTTAGCAACAAATAATATAATAAATTTATTTTATTATAAAAACGTATTATTAAAATACGTTTTAATTGTATAACGTATTTTTGTAATACGTTTACTTTTAAAACGTATTTATATAATACGTTTTTTATTTATTAAATTAAATTAATGATGGTTTATGTAAATTTTAATTAACTTAATGACGTTATTAATTTTATTCAGAATAAAACGTATTACGAGAATATGTTTAACTTGTAAAACGTATTACGTGAATATGTTTTACCTTAAAAAACATATTCTCATAATACATCTATTTGATTTTTGCCCACTAACCTTTTTTTTTTGTC